CTTCATGATGCTCATTTATCCTTGCCCGAAAACCCTTTGTCTTCGAGCAAAGAGGGGCAGCTGTGAGCACGTGATTTTTGCCACGCTTAAATTACTCCTACAAAATTCCTTAGAATTAGGATTTTTCTTTATTATTTGAATTTTTAGGAATTAATTGCATGATTTTGTGTCTTGTTTGTATTTTTGTGTGCATTTTAGGTGCCATAATTCATAAAAAGGGTACAAAAATAGTGCATTCGCATTTAGAATTCGATTTTATATTTTTAGTTTTACTAGTTAATTAATATTACTAAAATAAGAGAAAAATAACAAAAATAAATCTTTTACATTTTTGTTCCTTTAATTTCACTTTTTGTTTAATTTTTCTCTTAAAATTAGGATCTAGTTAGTTTGAGGAAATTAATTGGTTTAATTTTAGTCTACTCCATGTTTTTTGCTTTTAACACAAAAAATAAAAATAAAAAATGAAATTGAATGGAATAAAAGAAAGAAATTAGTTGAAAAGAAAATAAAAGAAAGAAAGAAAATCTGACTTGGGCTTTAGCCCCTTCAATTCGTTGGCCCAAACCAAAAATCCCCAAAACCCGTTCAAAATGGCCCAAACCCACAATCCTGATCCGGTCCAGTTACCCCCCCCCCCCCATTGCAAAACGACGTTGTTTTGGCGTCAATCGATCCTGTCCGTCCATGCCCCATGATCAAACGGTCCAGATCCATCCAAGAAAATTACATAAAAATATAATAAACCCTCAATAATTTTAGAGACAACCCTCCATCTTCCTCGTACTCACCGTCGTCCACCCCTGTCACTACCATGTCTCCGCCTCCTCCGCCGTCCGCCGCCGGCCGAAAATCGCCTCCGCCGGCGACGAAGCTCCAAACAACCCCAAAATTACACCATAGGATCTCCTCTTCCCCCTCATCTCAAATCCGGCCTTAGTTTCACTTAAATCATAACCAAACTTCTCGAATCTTGGATCGAAAATTCAGACCAAAACGCAAGTTTGTCTAAACGACCCCAAATTCACAACCTACACTCCCCTAACCTCCTTCTTCCCAAATCCCAAACTAAAACCCTTCAAATCCAAGCGAAACCCCTTTAATTTTAGATCTAGGGTTTCAAAGTTCAACACTATTTTGGGGATTTCATCACTCGAATGATTTTTTACTAATGTTATATGTTTTATTTTAATAAAATAAATATATAACAATAACAAAAAATCAATTTCGAGAATCAACCAAGTAGAAGACCAAAATCAGTGAGTTCCTTCTCTTTTGATTACATTTCTTGTTTGACTGATCCGGTTCTCATATTTTTTAACTTCTAGTTTAATTTTCATTTTTTTTCAATGTTGTTCGATTCTGTCCTGATTGATTTCTTGAGTTGGTTCTGATTTTTGTTTGATTTTTGATTAATTCTGGTTATTTGTTTGTTCTGATTTCTGATTTTAGTTTGATTTTAGTTGGATTTTATTCGGTTAGGATTTATTCTTCTTTGATTGTTGTTCTTTTCTATCTTTCATTTCTATAGTTTGATTTTAGTCATTGTTTGATTTTTATTGTTTCTTACTAGTGTTTTAATCAGTGTTCCATGATTGTTATTATTTAGTTTTAATTAGTTTTCTGTTTGGTTGTAGCTGATAGTCTTTAATTAGGGTAAAAGAGGATAGGTTAATTTTGACCTAGGTAGGTAATTTCAGGGATATTCAGGGATATTTTGGGTATTTAGGGTTGCATAGGAAGGCTGTAGTTAAATCTAGAACCCTCTAGAGTCTTCTAAATAGGGCCTTAGTTTAAATTTCAGCAATTTTAGTGTAGTAACTTGAGTAACAAGTCAGAAACTAGAGGACTAAGTAATTAAAACTGGAATTTAAAAGAGGGACTAAAATGTAAAGTTGAAACTCTGAAATTTCCTTAGCTTTGCCTATAAAAGGCAGTCACTAGTGCCTTCATTCAGAAGTTTTAACAATCTGAAAAATTCCCAAAAAAAGTTTACACACCCCTGAAAATTCCCCAAAACTCTCCAGCTCTTAATTTCCCCCTCAAAATCCTCTTCTTCAAGTCTGAATTTCAAATTTGAACTTCAAAATCTCAAGAGGTTCAAATTTGAAGTCATCTAGTTCTAAAACCTTCTTTAGATCTTAGTTTCTGCAAAAAAAAAAAAAAACCAAAAACGTACAAAAATACAGTAAAAAAACCAAAAAAAAATACTGTTTGTTGAAGCTCCCTTGTGATACTTTCAGAAATCCAAATCTCAGTTAGAAGTTTGCTCACTTGAGGTCCACAATGGCTTGAATTATCCTGTTTTGCAATAATTGAAGTTTTAAAACTTCTGGAGTCATTTTCAAGTCGAAATCTGGCTTATTCAGTTAGGATTTTGGTCGTTTACTAGTAATTAACTGCCGGGGATTGTTTCACATTGTTTCTGGGACTCGAGATTGGTTTAACCTGATAATTCACTGCTGAATTGCTTTGCTGTTCTGCCCTGTTTAAGCTGATTCCTCACCTCTACTTTGTTTCAATTCCAGGTATTCTTCAATCTCAAAGAGATATGTGAAGAACTAAGTCATTGGTTGTATTCAAACTATTGAAGAAATGACACATTGCTTGCATATTCTTCCTATTAGTTCACTTGTCTACATATTGGATTGAGTGTTAGATTATATAGCAGCAGTATTTGGAATGTAAATAATCTGAACATTTCATTATTTGTACCTAATTGGACTATTAAACTCTAGATTGATTGCATGCTGTTTTATTAGTTTTGTTTAGTATAGATTAATTTCAGTAATGGATAAATGCTGCTGGAGTTGAAGTATTCATAACATGTGTTAGATTAAGTCACACATGAAGAGTTGAAGTGTTGTGATTCATTTGATGAAGATTAGATTGGTTGTAATAGCTCGCTAAAAATGAAAAACGCAGGTCTATGTATTCCATGTTATTGCTAAGACTTACCTGAAGATTCAGAGATTGTGAACGGGTAGGAAGTAACCAACATTCTTAGATCAGTTAATGTGTTAAGTGTTAATATGTGACTCTCAAATAAATAATGGTGTTACACATAAATAAAAAAAGAGTATGAAATAGTCAATCTACAAATAATAACCATTACGTGCTTTAGCTGATGACTTCTGGAATTGTTTAAGTACTGTTATGTTCAGCACATTGGGTTACGTGAGTGAAACAAGTAAGAAGGCAAGTCAAGGCAGGCCCAAGTCATTGGGTATACCTTAATGGCTGGACTGTTGGGCTTGATTTTCTTCAGGTTGAGCCCATGTGCAAGGCTCACATCTCAGGTCATGACTTATGGACCTGCAATATGGCAGATTTACAGGCTGAATCTTAGGCCCAATACTAGACGACTTTTCAAAATTATATTAGGGATACGGGGAGTTAATTCGCAATAAAATTTAGGTTTTCGAGTTAGGTGGCGGGTTCAAATTAAGAGGGTCTTCCCTTTTGTTTGAATTCGGACTTGAACTCGAGGCCCAAATTTATAAATGTAAATTAATTAGGCCCTTTTAGAGACAAAAAGTAAATAGAAAAATCGTAGTTGCTTTAGGTTGGCTTTTAAATAAAAATGAGATGAGCCTCGCCAAACAAAACACGTAAATTACGGGGCCCTCGTTAAATGCTTATATTAAAATACTTAGAATTCGGGACGTGCCGATTAGCGGATTTCACGGCCTCCCGCAAAGATAACAACACGTTAGTCGCTTTAGGCACACTTTTAATAATTTTACCTTCTAAATATGGGTGTGTGTTTCATGCAACCCAAATCCAAATCCAAAAACGTCGAATAAGAATGTGTCGAGGATCCGGGTGCATTTCATGTGACGTGATCCAAAAACATATTCTTAAACGACGTTCACTTTCCTAAAAATTAACTAAAGCGGTAAATACTCCTAAAATTGCACTATAGGTTAGAACATGTGTAAAAATCAGATTTAGCCATTTATGATAATTTAAGCGACCGTGCTAGAACCACGGGATCCGGGGGTGCCTAACACCTTCCCTCGGGTCAACAGAATTCCTTATTCAGAATTTCTGGTTCGCAGACTCCAATTGGGAAGTCGAAATTTTCCTCGATTTGGGATTTAAGTTAAACCGGTGACTTGGGACACCAAAAGCCCATCCTATCCCAAGTGGCGACTCTAAAAATAAATAAATAATCCCATTTCGAATAATGTCACTTTAAATAGAAAAACTCCCTTATACATTATCCTTCGGGGTAGGTGTGTAAAAAAGGAGGTGTGACATCAAGAACTTTACCAAAGCATATATTCTCGATCACAGAGATTGCACATCCATATTTTCTCTCCTTTTTATCTACTACTATATTTTTTTATAATAATTTCTAATTAATACTAATATGCAACCATTTTTGCTATATAGTGTTGCTTTTAGCGTGATCTAAGCACACAACCCGTCGTACATGCTGCAAGCACCTAAAACAACTCCAAACTAGAATTTTGAAAAATGGCGGGATCACATTCACTTTCATGGCCAGCAACAGCGGCGGCAGAGCAGTCGGAGCTGCCGCCGTCGTCAATGTCAATCGCCACCGTAACAAACCAGTGGGAAGCTGAATACGCTCGGTTCATCCTCTATCCTCCAGCTTCTCCTCATCCCTCTCATCCGTCTCTCGTCCCTCTTAGACGAAAGCACTGTACAAGCGGCAAATGGATATCCTCTTCCTCCCTCGTTTCTCTCAAACTCCGCACTGATAGATCCGATCCTAATCGCGGTTTCATCCTCATCCTCGCTTTCCATCACACGATCCTCGTGAGCGCTTACTGCTTCCCTCTGTTTTTACAACTATTTTGAATATTGAGAAATTCTAAATGCTCCAGAAAAAGAAATAACTGCTTTACTTTCATTAATTATTTCTTCTGGATCGGTATATTTATTTGCTATTTTCTCAAGGTGAAATGAATTAGAAAATGAACAATTTGAATGTTAATTTCCTTTGTGACCTTTTTGATGTGGCTTTGATTTCATAGGTTAGTTTACTTTGGATTTGTTGATACTCGATTTTATAATTTGATCTCTTTATTCTCGCTGTTCATCCTTTTCTTCACTCTGCGCTCACAGAGTCCTCGTGAGAGATACTGCTTCTTTCTGTTTTCCCGCTATTTTACTTTTTAGAAAAAGTAATATGTAACTGCTTTGGTTTTGTTTTCGTTTTCCTCTTTGGATTGATATATTTGTTTGCTGACTCGCTCAAGGATGAGTTGAAATAGAAAAGGACAATGCATAACTTTTTGAATTTGATTGTTAGTTGTCACTGATTGTGAATTTATGATGTAATCTTAGTTTACTGAGAGCTCTCAATTGTATAGTGTAGTTAATTTTAGTTTAAATTTGTTGATACTCGATCTTATGATATGCTTTCTCTTCTTGTCGCGTTTCATCCTTCTGCTCGCTCTAGCTCACAGAGCCACTATAAGCGTCTATTGCTTCTTTCCGTTTTACTGTTGTGTTTTGTCTTCTTTCTTCTTCTTTTGTATTGAACTTCTGTTTGCTGAATTTCTGAAGGATCTAGTTGAATTCGAAATGTATTCTGAAATTTATGATATAGTAATTGTTTTTTTTAAACTTAAATGTAACTTTGAGTTTTAGAGTCAATTTTTGCTTGAACTTGTTGATACTCGATCTTCTGATTCGATCTCACTTTTTCTGTGCTGGAGAACTAGTATTCATTCTGTTGAATGCAAACGTTGTGTTGTGGATTTGTTTATAATAGGCCGAGATAATCACAACAATGCTTGAATGGAAGCAATTTCTTCGTGCAATTCTGGCAAACAATAATGCTGTCTTTTCCCAGAGGGTAAATTACATAGCTGATGGTAAAAATGTCATGGGTACAGAGAAATCCATAGGTACTATGAATAGGTCAAGCGCATTGTTGAAAACTGTTGCAGGAGGGCCTATGCCAGTTTTTTCATTGAGTACTGGGGACGCAGTGTACTCTTGATGTATTAGTTCTCTGTTTGTTAGCATAGTGGCACCTTTGTTACCCTTTGTTTGTGAGATAACCTTGTCTTACACAGCTAAGCGCACGAGCATTAGTCTTGTGCATTATCAGTTCTGATTTTTATTAGCTGTCTCATAGTTCTGCAAACAATGGATGTCACTTGCTGTGGTTCATAAGCTCTTAGACAATGTTACAGTTATCAAGTTTTCTGCATGGAGAGGCTAACAGAATAGTTTCTTGTTTCTGACTTTTTTTGGTTTCATTATTTACTTCTTGCAGGAAGAACATTACGTTTCGAGGCTAATGTTCTCATGGCCTCAGGTCTCATGTGTATCAGGTTTTCCAACAAGGGGAACTAGAGCTGTCTTTGTGAGCTACAGGGATTCTGTTGGCCAGGTGAGCTCATTAATTAGTCTTTGTGAAGTCATTACTGAATTTGCTATAACTGTGATTAACCTCATGCTCTCTTTAAACCCCCATTGTTTTCAGCTGAAACTTCTTCTTTCCAGGAAAACTATTGTGTAGAGAAGTAACGAGATTAAGAATCAGACTAAAATGAAAGTAGCTCTAGGGACAGGCAAACCTCCCTCACGCTTCAAATATCCAATGCAAAGAGGCGAATGGAGCATTAAATGAAGTTAAAATAAGAACGAAAAGTTGCATAGAAGAAACTTGAAGTAGCTAGTTTTCTGGAGATACACGTGTATTATATGTAGTAAGCTAATTGTTCTGAACAAGTTCTTTTAGGTGCATAACTTGAAGTTTCAATACTATGATGTGGGAGTGATGACATCCTTTTCTTTAAGACTTTGAAGCATCTGAGACTCGGACTCTCTAACTTAACTACTGCATTTTATCCAAGTTCTGTACCATCTGGTACTTAAGATAATAGACAGTCCTTCTGAGAACATATATATCATGGGAAGTTCACTTCACAGAACTGTTACACGCGTTGAATCATTCACTCAAGCTTCCTAGTTGTAATGTTTGCTTTAGCTTTCACATTTAGGACATTATTCTATTAAGGCTTTGTCATATAAAGGGCGCACTGAAAGAACTCAAAGTGGAAATATGATGGTCTGAGGCTTCTTTTCTGCTAGTCCTGATACAGAAAACTGTGTGGAAAGGTCCTATAATAAAACCACTAATGTTGGACTTCAATTATCCTGTTATTTTTGCAGATTCAAAAATTCGTCCTGCGGTTCTTGACAATCTACGAGATAGAGAATTTCATGAATGTTTTAAAGGTGCATAATTCTCTATGATTCTCTCTACGAGTTCACTTACAATATACAACTTTCTTCCTTCACGTGCTTTTCGCATGTGAAATTCTTAGGGAAGATTGGACAGCGCAAGTCCTCCTGCTCTTCCGTGTCTTGAATTTGATTCAGTGATATCTTCTCAATCTGAGTTTATTCCTTTCGGAGGAGCTTCACAAAGGTGACATATACTGATTACTGCAGTTGCTTTGACACATCCTCCCGTGAGTTTAGCAAATTAAGATATTAAAGTATAATTTACATAAGGTTTGATTTTCTCAGGGACAATGAAGGATGGATATATACAGCTTCAGGTGACTCTAGTTCCCATCATATGCCAGTAACCTGGGCACCTGGATTTTCTCAAGGTTCACATACAGAGGAAATGAGACTAAATCGCGAAGCTGAGGAGATTCTTTCAGCTTTTCCTCCCAGTTTCACGTCCTTCTTGATGAACTGCGGCCCTGAAGCTGATCAAGGTGGTTCTCATCAGTCGACTTTTCATGAAGTTCCCCACTTTTTGATTCAAAACTAAACACCATTAATAATTGTTAACTGAATGCAGTTGCTGCACAGTCAAGTACGACGAAGGAGGTTGACCTTAAAGACCAAATTGCGGTATTGTTTCTGTCTATATCTTTTACTGAGATCAACTAACATTCTGCTTCGCTGAAATTTTTTAAATGGCTGGACGGCTCATAACTGTGTTCCATTTGTATGATCCACCTGCCTATTGTCTTGCAGAAATATCTAGAAGATTCTTCATTCCAAGGTATGTCTTTAAACACTAATGCGGTAATGCCCCTTTTCCAGGTTTTGGTCGATGGAGCATGCACATTACTTGATGTTCCTAATGCCCCTTTTTTGTTTTTAAAATTTATTTACTTTTTCCTTTTAATGGATGGAAAAGCCTTAAAGTCACTGTTCTTGAAGTTGATTACTATTCAGACCATGGTAAAATAAAGCGTTGCTAAGTAATATCTACGAGTTGTAAAAAAATCACTCACCGTTAAAAGAAGCAGCTACATGCAGATGCTGATTTGACTGGTTTAGAATACTAATTTGCTGAATTGCTGATATTGATAGATATGCTGGTCAAAGTTGAGGAAGTCATCCGTGAATTGGGAGATAATACAGTGCTATAGCTGCACCAGAGGTGATGCAAAAAAAAAAATCATAGCTGATTACCTATTAATTCTTCAAACATGGGAGGCTTTTTTCATTTTCTTTCTCAATTTGCTCACAGAACACATCAAAACAAGCAAGCAGTTGTACAAGAGAATTATTTCCGTGCATTGTCTGTTGAAGCAATTACATTAGCTATCTTTAGTAGAACTGGGAAGTACAAAATTGTGATCTCATTTTAGACAAGGACTTGCTTTGCACGTGGTGTTTAATTTGTTGTAGATGAGCAAGTCTCATCTATCATGCACCATTTGTATGTTTGTTATATTAGTCCTATGAGCTACTAAGTAAAAATTGGTTAAAACAAAAAAGAGAGGAACCAGTTCTGCTTTGATGCATGTTAGAGCCTTATATCCAGTTTTTCAGTTAACAGCCCTGCACTGTTTCCTGATCTGCCCCTGGTCACCAGTGAGCACTTGTATTGAAGCCAACTTGTTCATGGCCTTGCCCAACTTATTGAACCATCCCGATTGGTCATCACCGAACTTCTGGATATAGTCCTTTGTTCTGGGATCTTCACTCAAAAGCACATCTGATTCAAGTAGTCCTCTCTTTTGAGCCAGCTGCTTGTAGTAAATAGAATCCATCTTGTACTGTGTAGTGGTATCAAAAGCCAAAGTATTCATTTGGTTGGTACATGTGAATCGCATAACTCCAGCGAGCCTTGGATCTACCATGGCCGCCTTCTGAGGATTATCCAATCGGTAAAGGAAGCTGAAACAGTGTGCTACTCCAATGGAGTGGGCACCAATTAAAACCGCCAAATCCTCTTCATTCAGGCCCTTCCTTTTAAAGAGGTCAATCAACGTATCCACTGTATTATCAGGAAGTGGGAGGTTGCCATGAACATTTGCTTCAAGGGATTCCATTCCATCACGACGTCCACCAGGCACGTCGTACTGAGGGACACCGGATACAACAAAGGCCTCCCTTGATAAATATACCAAAAGATCTGTGCACGAGACTACGCCGGGGCATTCTGCCTCAAGCTCAGCCTTGATCTGGTCAATGAGATCAAATCCCCTAACTGTTGGTCCATTGGAGTTGGCGAGCTTTTCTACCCTTGCCCCACTTGGTGTCTGGTCTAGCAATAGTGATGCATCACATCCCTATACATTAGATAAATGAATTTTCATTAGACTTTACTGTTATTTTTGGTTATCAAGAAAGCACAGGAAAGCCTGTTTCCTGCGAAAGAAAGTGGACGAAAAGGAAAGTTGAAATGTTTGGTCAATAGAGTAAAATTTGCAAATGTGTAGAAGTTAGTTTGGGCTTGTTCTGTTTTCCTTTAAGTTTTGCAAGAATAGTAAAATTTGCTGTCATTGCCAGCTGTGGAGCCAAAAATTCTACAAAGAGGATTAAGAAAATGCGAGACTGCCACACCCTGGATTCCAACCTGTGGCCTAATGCAATTCTCAAACCATCTTTCCACTTTATTAGAAGTTTTCCTTATGTCAAGAGGATTTAACAATTCATATGTATAAAAGAACAATTTGTTTTAACCAATTTGCGGTTTAATTTTCGATGATGGTAATTCAATTGAAACCCCTTTGCAAAACGTGGGAAGTGCAGGTTCAGCTGATCAAGTACATATTCTCCTCAAAGTTTCCACATAATGAAACTGGCCCAAAGGATCTTACCCACCAAAATAAAGATCGATTCAGTCATTTTGAATTCATTAAATGAGCAGCTACATATCAAATGCAATCCAAAAGATTTGAAACTATTGAAGAATTTCAGAGGTTTACCATATATGTTTCTTACTGAATATCCTGAGAACATCATCATAGAATCTACATATTGAGGTAAGGATTGAAGTCTTACATTGACAAAGCAATCATGCAATAGAAGGCGGGGAATCGCAGCAGCAATGCTGGAATCATTCCCAAAAGCCCTGATCATGCCATCCTTAATAATCTTCTCAGCTTTTGGGCAAATTTCATCGTAAAATCCTACTTCCAATCCGGCATGTTTACGTAGCTCTTTAATTTCTTCTGGTGTTGGATGTTTTTGCCCTGGAGCTGGCTGTACAGGCACAGGTGTTTGTGTGGCTGATGGATTAGGTGTTTGAGGTGCACCCCCATATCCTATTGTCACAGGTGGTAGAGTTGCTCCTGGAAATCCTGCAGGCACATTCGTAGGTGTTGGATTAACGGGTACAGGATTAGGCGTTGGATTAACAGGCTCAGGATTAGGTGTTTGATCAACAGGCACAGGTGTAGCATCTTCTTCAGGTTCGCTTTCTTCATTGATGTCATGATCAAGATTTTTTTCCCGCAGATCATGCTGTTTTTGTGCCCTTTTCTTCAATGCCTTTTTCAGTTTTTTTCCCTTTTTACCATCTAGTTCAAAAATTGTGTCATCATCGTTGCTGACATGAGCAACATTATTAACATGGATTGGCACATCAATATTTTTATCAGAATCGTTCACTAGGAGAACTTCAGGAAGATGATCTGTAAATGCTGAGGACAGAGAAGGGAGGATCGTGAAAATAAGAAAAAGACCTACAAAAATTCTCGCCTTCGCTGCCATCTTTCTAAAGCATGATGGTTGTTGATAACAAATATTTGGCATTTATATAAGCCTATAAACTTTTGAGAGGGAAGAACTTGAGGCTACCATTGTTATGTCTTTAGGTAGTTATTTAATTTTGGTTGGACTAATAATCTCACCCCTCAAAATAAGGGGGTCCTTTCTAACCTATCTAAGTTTCTAACAACATTTTTTTTCTAATTTTTTTTTTTCTAGTTGCCAAGAGTAGGAGAGCAGGTCATATAACATTTGGTATGTGGTTGCGTTAATTTTGATGTATATAGGTTTTATGTAGCCTGCATAATGCAGCCAAAAAAATGTACAATAACTAGGTACTTATTGCATTGTAAAAATCATGCACGTCTCTTTTTCTAATCCCTAACTATATAGAGAGAGATATAACTACTAATTCTTCAATATCTCACAAGAAAGACATCAAAGCAATAGCTATGTTTTCTCGGTACACATTACTAGTTTTACTCTTTCCTCAATTCTTTACATTGTTAAGAAATTTTGCGTTTGGCGCCCCAACTCAGTTATCTCAAATTTACCCTCACTACTAGAAATCCGAAAAAAAACGACCAAAATTTGTCAAGAAAAGCGACCAAAGTTGGTAGCTAAATTGGAGAAAATAATTATATAATTATTCTAAATACATTAGCGACCAAGGTTGGTCGCTTTTTAGTCTCTAATGTGGTCAAAATGTTGACCGGACTGGTCAGACTTGCTTGGTCAAAGAAATACTGAAATTAGCGACCAACTTTGGTCGCTAAAGTGGGACCCAGTTATAAATCTTAATAATTATATTATTATTTTTTAAAAAATAAATATAATTTAACATTAGCAACCAAAGTTTTTACATCACCCGCAAGGGTATAAAGGAGTTTTTCCAATTAAAGGACAATCGGAACGGGATTTATTATTAATATTCAGAGTCGCCACAAGGGTAGATTGAACTCAAAAATACCAGAGATCTCAACAAACACCAACGGCAATAACGAATAACCCACAACAGCCACTTAAGCCTCAAATACTACTCGAAATGCAAACAAACATCCTCGAAAGCAAACTTAATTTCTCCTGGAGCTTTAATGAAACAGAAGTCGACCAAAATCCAACCCCAGACCAGCTTGAAATAACCAAAACCAACGGCAAACTAACAGTCACATTTCAGAAGAAACTCAGCAAACAGAGGAGAAGAGAACTGGTCGAATTTGGCTAACATCAATGTAACAGTACATAATTTTGATTTTTTTTGCAGATTTTTGTTGTTTTTGGTTTCCTTATTTTTTTTTGAATTTCTACTTTCAAATCTGGGAACTGAAGAGTACTTTTGGGGGGGGGGGGGGGAATTTTAGGCCTCCCAACTTGTGAATCAAGGCAAATGAATGCCTATTTATAGGTGAACTTAGGGTCCAATTTCAGATTTTCCCTTTACCCATTAGTCCCTGTTTTAATTCTATTTTTATCCTTTATTTTCTGACTTGTCACACAAGTAACTACCCTAAGTTTACTGAAATCTGCACTATAGTCTGTCCTAGAAGGTTCTATGCCCATTACAATTCCTATTCTACCCTTACTTTACTTCAACAATTACCAAATCTGATTAAACTACCCTTTTTTCATGCCTAAACTACCCTTAGCATCCCCTGAAATTACTGACCAAGTTAAACTAGTCCATTGGCTATAACCAAACAATCTATTTCTAGGGCTAATCAAACTAGACAAATTAGCTAATCAAGAGGTTGGAACAATTAAAATCAAATTGCAGCAAACAACTAGGAGTCGACTAACTGAACCTAAAATCAAACCACTTAAACGTATATGACTACTGGGAACAATATTGTCATGAAGAACAAAACTTAAGCTAGATCCTGAACATGGAATTACTAACGCAATTACTGAATTAAACTAAACTAAACTAGTTAATTATCACTAACCAATAATAACAATAACGAATCAAATACTGCAAAAAAAAATTGAAATCAAAAGTGCCCTAAAGAATTAAAGATTATCCAAACAGATTTAAACAGGAGCATACTTGAACAGAATCAAAACAGAATTGAACAAAACTTACTAATTTTGAGCATTCGACTGACTATGGGGCGAACTCTGACCAGCTATTGTTGTTTGAATCCTCCGGGATTCTTGACACGTAACATCCCTAATGGCGTGTTTTCAAAAGGAAACACATGATTAGGGAAATTACGGTCTAAAATCCCCAAGATTTCTGAGTTAGGGTTCTGCCGGACTTTGGGATAAAATTTGTAATGTTCCGGGCAGATTCGAGACAAGTGGCTATGGGGGTTGGGTAGAAGAGACTCAGATGAACCCAGGGTGTCAATTTGGGACTATTTGGCATATTTTGGGTCTTGGCCGGAAAATATTCAAACTGAGATTTGACCAATTTAAGGCAGATTCGAGAAAAACTAACCCGGGATTTGGCTAGGGAAAGGGGAAAGGACCTAGGGTGTTAATTTGGGGTGGTTTGGAAGGAGTTGGGTCATGGCCGGAAAAGTTTAGATTTGATATTCGACGAGATTGGCTATGATTCGAGGGGAGCTGAGGGCATGGTTGGAAAGAGGGGAGAACAGTGGTTCTAGGGTGTAATTTTGGTGGTCATCGGAGCATCGTCGCCAGCGGCGGCGATTTCCGGCGGGCGGCGCTAGGGCGGAAGACGGTGGCGGACAGTTGGGTGTCAGTGGCGTTACAGGGAGTACGAGGAAGATGGATTGTGTTTTTGTTTTTGTATAATTTTCGGACAATTTTATTTAAATTTGAGGATCAATCGTGGCCATTGGATTTGGGGGAACGGACGGTCATGATTAAACGACGTCAAAACGACGTCGTTTTGAGTATGGGGCAACTGGACCGGGCAGGGCGTTTGGGCCAGTGGCTTGGGCTGGGTGAAGTCAATTAAATGGCCCAATTAGGCATTATTGAGGCAGCCCCTTTTAATTGCTTTTGTTTTCATTTTTATTTCTTTTATTTATTTTTTGTATTTCATTTTGTATTATTTTTTTTCTGATTTTATAAAAAATACAAAAATTAAAATGAAACCTAATTTATTTCCAAAATTAAGCTAATTAACTCCTATTTAAAATAAACTCAAGACAAATTCAACAACTAACAATTAAAAATGCAAAAATGGACTATTTTTGTTATTTTCTTTAAATTTTGTTCTAAAAACAACTTAACCACTAAATAATCCTTAAATATGAAATTAGATCCTAAATGCAAATGTCAGGCATATTTTTTATATTTTTCATATGAAATAAAAATGCACAAATAAGAATGCAAACAGTTAACAGAAAATAACACAAAATTCACAAAAGTGTAAAATAATGAAAGAGAAATTATTTTGTTTGAATTTTTGGGAATAATTCATATATAGGGCAAAAATCACGTGCTCACAGCTGCCCCTCTTTGCTCGGGAACACGCAGAGTTCTCGGGCAAAGACAAGTGAGCGGAAATGAGCGATTTTTGCCCGTTTGCATATTCCGTGTGAAGCATTTTTGAAAGAGTTGACCGAACCTTGCTTCAAAGGTTGCCTACATATCCTGGGCTAAACAGGAATCAGGTCAGTGTAGTTCGGGAAGGTTTGGTAGCTGGGGCTACCAGGAGCTGTGATTTCATTGCTGTTGCTGCTGCTACTGCTCGCTGACCTCCTTATTACACCGAGTAAAAATAAAAAGAAGCTAGCATAAGCTATGATCTACGAATTACAAAAGGGTCCTATCTATGTCTTCTAACTTGTTCTTGTGTTGCCTTGAACTTGTATCTTGTAATCTTCCGATGGTATTCCTGTTGTTGTTTTGCATGGTGATCGACGATATTGCTGCCGTTCCTCCAAATGATGCTTGATTATTTGAAACCTGTGTCCATTTTCCAGGTGGGCTCCTGACTGCAGACGCTTAAACAGTATTCCTTGTTCTCCAGGCGGGCTCCTGACTGCTGAAACTTGAAATATTCCCTTGTTCTCCAGGTGGGCTCCTGACTGCTAAAAATCTGAAAATGAATGCCTCTGTTCTCCGGGCGGGCTTCTGATTGCCAAAACTTGGGATAAATGCCTCTGTTCTCTAGGCGGGGCTCCTGATTGCTAAAAGCTTGAAAATAAATGCCTGTATTCTCCAGTCGGGCTCCTGATTGCTAAAAACTTGAAAATAAATGCCTCTATTCTCCAGGCGGGCTCCTGATTGCTAAAACTTGAAAATAAATGCCTCTGTTCTCCAGGCGGGCTCCTGATTTCAAAGATAGACCAACAACAAAAGAAAAGAATTTTCTGCCCCAGTCTGGTGGCCGGGCGCATCACGTTACCAAACACTACTAAAAATTCGGAAGCTAAAATTTGAATTGTACTTCCCTTGTTCTTCAGGTGGGCGCCTGACTGCTGAAATTTGAAATGTATTCCCTTGTTCTCCAGGTGGGTGCCTGACTGCTGAAATTTGAAATGTATTCCCTTGTTCTCCAGGTGGGCGCCTGATTGCTGAAACTTGAAAGTATTCCCTTGTTCTCCAGGTGGGCGCCTGATTGCTGAAACTTGAAAGTATTCCCTTGTTCTCTAGGTGGGCACCTTATTGCTGAAATTTTGAAAAGTATTCCCTTGTTTTCCAGGTGGGCGCCTGATTGCTGAAACTTGAAATGTATTCCCTTGTTCTCCAGGTGGGCGCCTGATTGCTGAAACTTGAAATGTATTCCCTTGTTTTCAGGGGGGCGCCTGATTGCTGAACTTGAAATGTATTCCCTTGTTCTCCAGGTGGGCGCCTGATTGCTGAGATTTGAAATGTATTCCCTTGTTCTCCAGGTGGGCGCCTGATTGCTGAGATTTGAAATGTATTCCCTTGTTCTCCAGGTGGGCGCCTAATTTTAGCAGAAATAGACAAAACAAAGAAGCATTTTCTGCCCCTGTTCTAATCAAAGAAAAATTTGTTAATGTAAAATAGTGGTTAGCTGCTGGCATTCTTGTTGGCCATGCTCCCGCTTCCGACTTTGCTCTGACTTGCTTCTTTGGACTTGCTTTGACTTGCCACGATTTCCCAATTGACTTTCAACCCTCTGATCTTGATGACCCACATGCTTTACCTCGTATTACTGTTGGTGTTTCTGTTCCCTTCTTTTGAACCTT